AGGTGCAGGGGCCCAAGGACTTGGGCCGTCTTCTGCTGCTTTCCCAGGCCATAACAGAGCTGGGTCAGAAGTGGAGCAGCTAGGACTCGAATCGGCACCCATATGGGATGCCAGCACTGTAGGCAGTGGCTTTACCGGCTATGTCACAGTGCCAGCCCCGATTTATGTATTTATTTGAAGGCAGAGTGACAGTTTCCATTCACTGGTTCACTCCCCAAATGGCTGCAGCCAGGGCTGGGTTCAAGCTGAAGTCAGGAGCCCAGAACTCCGTCTGGATCTCCCACATGGGTGACAAGAACTCAAGTACTTGAGCCATTACTCAGTGCTTCCCATTGCAATACATCAGGGATCTGTATTCAAAGCAGAGTATCTCAGACTTATATAGGCATCCCAAGCAACAGCTTAACTTTCTAAGTTTTTAAAAATTTAATTTGAGGCCGGCGCCGCGGCTCACAAGGCTAATCCTCTGCCTTGCGGCGCCGGCACACCGGGTTCTAGTCCCAGTCGGGGCGCCGGATTCTGTCCCGGTTGCCCCTCTTCCAGGCCAGCTCTCTGCTGTGGCCAGGGAGTGCAGTGGAGGATGGCCCAAGTACTTCAGCCCTGCACCCCATGGGAGACCAGGAGAAGCACCTGGCTCCTGCCATCAGATCAGCGCAGTGCGCCGGCCACAGCGCGCTAGCCGCGGCGGCCATTGGAGGGTGAACCAACAGCAAAGGAAGACCTTTCTCTCTGTCTCTCTCTCTCACTGTCCACTCTGCCTGTCAAAAAAAAATTAAAAAAAAAATTTTAATTTGAGAGACAGAGAATTCCCATCTACTGATTAACTTCCCAGATATGTGCAACAGTGAGCTTAGAAGCCAGGAATTTGACCAAGGTCTCCCACATGGGTTGCAGGGACACAACCACTTGAGCCATCGCCTTTTGACTCCCAGGGTATGTGTTAGCAGGAAGCTGAAATCAAGAAAGGAGCCAGATATCAAACCCAAATACTCAGATAGGAATGAGGAATAATGAAAAGAGAGCCACAAGGGACATTGCTAGGCATACCAACATGTTTAATGGGAGTCTTCGAAGGAAAGGAGAGAGGAATGTGGCAAAAAGATTATTTGAGGATGTAATGATTGAAAACTTCTCAAATTTGATAGAAAACTATATATTTGAGAAACTAACTCTAAATGGGTTAAATTTACAGAGACCTTCACGTAGACACGTGATCAGGCTGTCAAAGCCAAAGAATCTTGAAATCATCAATAAAAATCAATTATGTAAAAGAGACTCAATAAAAATTTTTTTGAAGATTAATTTATTTGAAAGGCAGACTTACAGAGAGAAATCTTTTATCTGTTGGTGTATTCACCAAATGGTTGCAGTGGTCGGGGCTGGGTCAGGCAGAAACCAGGTGCCAGGAGCTTCTTACATGTCTTCCACATAACTGAAAAGGTCCAGGCACTTAGGCCATCCTCCACTGCTTTCCCAGGTATATTAGCAGGGAACTAGATTGGAAGTGGAGTAGCCAGAACCAGTATCCATTTGGGATGCTGGCACTACAGGTGGAGGCTTAACCCTCTGTAGCACAGTGCTGGCCCTTTGCAATAAAATTAATACCTGATTATGCATCAGGAACCACTGGAGGTCAGAAGATAATTGGATGACTTTGAAAGTTCTGAAAGAAAATAATAGTTAACCAAGAATTCTTCAAACATAAAAAATTAGGCATTCTGGGATTGAAAAAGAAAAGCAGAATTTCTTAGAAGAGATGCTGGAAACTAAAGACAGTCCTTCAGGCTGAAATTAGATAACACCAAACTTAAATTGGATCCACCTGAAGAAATAGAGCACCAGCAAAGATAACTACATTTGTAATGTAAAATATATAAACATCTTTTGCTTATAACTCTCCTGATTAAGAAACAGTAGGGTAAGAAAATAGGTATAAATCTGTATTGAAGGTTGTGTATTGTCAGATGTAATTTATATGTGAACAAAAAATAATTGGGAAGGAAATGAAGCTTTATAGGAATAAAATTTTAATATACTTTTGAAGGACGCAGATATTAATCTGGACCAGATTGTTAGAAATTGGGTTGTTAATTGTAAATCTGAAGAAAACTGTTAAGAAATTATCAAGGGGTAGGCATTTAGCCTAGTAGACAGGATGCCCATATACATGTTGGCATTCAGTATCTGACTCTGGGTTCCTGCCATCCATGTGAGAGGCCTAGATTGGATTGTTAGCTCCTGACTTCCACCCATCTTAGTCCTGGCTGTTGTAGGCATTTGGGAAGTCAACCAGAAGATAGGAGCCCTTCCTCCCTCTCCCCTTCCCCTTCCCCTCCCTCTCTCTAATAAATAGTTTTGTTTAAGTAACTCAAAAATATATAGTGGGGGCTGGCACTATGGTACAGCTGGTTAAAGCCCTGGTCTGCAGTGCCAGCATCCCATATGGGGACAGGTTTGAGTCCCAGCTGCTCTACTTCCAGTATAGCTCTCTGCTATGGCCTGGAAAAGCAGTGGAAGGTAGCCCAAGTTCTTGGGCCCCCGCACCCACATGGGAGACCCGAAAGAAGCTCCTGGCTTCTGACCAGTGCAGCTCCGGCCATTATGGCCAATTGGGAAATGAGCCAGCGGATGGAAGATTCTCTCTCTCTCTCTCTCTCTCTCTCTCTCTCTCTCGTTCTGCCTTTCAAATAAATAACTCTTAAAATTTATTTTTAAATATGTATTAATTAAGAGGCAGAGAAAGAGCGTATCCACTGGTTCACTCCCCAGATGTTTCAAAGGGCCTGGCAGAGTCAGGATGAGACTGGGAACTACAAGCTCATTCTAGGTAGGAACTCAGTACTTGAGGCGTTACTGCTGCCTCCCAGGGTCTGGATTAGCAGAAAGCTAGAGTCAGGAGCCATAGCCAGGTATTAAACTCAGGTACTCTGATATGAAATACACATATGTCTTAACTGCTAGCACAAACGCTTGCCCCCTCAATAAATTTTAAAAGATTGAAATCCTGATATATGTTTTTTGACCACAGTAGAATGAAATTAGACATCAAAGAAACTTGGAGAATTCATAAATAGGTGGAAATGAACTCCTTAATAACCCAGAACAACAACAAAATTCAAAACAGGCAGAAGGAAATAATGAAAGTAAGAGTAAGATTAATACATGAAATAGAGAATAAAAAAGAGAAAATGAATACAAAAGTCTTTTTAAAAAAAATATTTATTTGAAAAGCAGAGTTACAGATAGGGAGAGACAGAGAGAAAGGTCCCCTACCAGGTGGTTCACTCCACATATGGCCGCAATGGCCAGAGCTGGGCTGAACTGAAGCCAGGAGCCAAGAGCTTCCTCCAGGTCTCCCACGTGGGAGCAGGGTCCCAAGTACCTGGGTCATCCTCCACTGCCTTCCCAGGCTATAAGCAGAGGTGAATTGGACGAGGAGCAGCCAGGACAGAAACCAGCGCCCATATGGGTTGCCAGCACCACAGGCAGAGGCTTAACCTACTATGCCACAGCGCTGGCCTCAGAAGTTGTTTTGTTTTGTTTTTGTTTTTGTTTTTTCAAGATTTATTGTATTTATTTGAAAGACAGAGTTGCAGAGAGAGGCAGAGACAGAGAGAGAGGTCTTCCATCCGCTGGTTCGCTTCCCAGATGGCCACAACCCCCAGAGCTGTGCCTATCTGAAGCCAGGAGCCAGGAGCTTCTTCCGGATCTCCCATGTGGATGCAGGGGCCCAAGGACCTGGGCCATCTTCCCCATCCTCTGAAGCCGTAGCAGAGAGCTAGATTGGAAGTGGAGCAGCTGGGACTTGAACTGGCACCCATATGTGATGCCAGCACTGCAGGTGGTGACTTTTCCTGCTGTGCCACAGTACTGACCTCCAGTCATACATTTTTTAAAACTAAGTAGGAAGCAGTAGTTTGTCATAAGTTTCAGTCAGATTATTAGAATTCAGAATTCTTCTGTGGAGCAGTCTCCAACACTATTTCTGGGAAATGATTAATATGTCTTAATGTCATAAAGTTACTAAAACTTAAAGTAGGCCGGCGCCGTGGCTCACTAGGCTAATCCTCCGCCTTGCGGCACCGGCACACCAGGTTCTAGTCCTGGTTGGGGCGCCGGATTCTGTCCCGGTTGCCCCTCTTCCAGGCCAGCTCTCTGCTGTGGCCCAGGAGTGCAGTGGAGGATGGCCCAAGTGCTTGGGCCCTGCACCCCATGGGAGACCAGGATAAGTACCTGGTTCCTGCCATCCGATCAGCGCGGTGCGGCGGCCATTGGAGGGTGAACCAACAGCAAAGGAAGACCTTTCTCTCTGTCTCTCTCACTATCCACTCTGCCTGTCAAAAAATAAAAAATAAAAAAAAAAAAACTTAAAGTAGGTCTCTTTCCAATAATACTTTATAATTATTAACTAGGCAGCATGTTCTAAAGTTTAGAATACAGCTTCTGGTTTGTTTTCCCAAAGAGAAACTGAGATATGGTGGTTATGGTTAAAACTTAGGCTGGTACTAACTCTTTTCATCCTAAATTGTTTTTTGTTTTGTGATTTTTGTTGTTTTGTTTTGTTTTTGGTTTGTTTGTTTGAAAGCCAAAAAAAGGGAGACAGATGGGTAGAACTCCCATACCCTGGTTCACTCCCCAAATAGCTTGCAATAGTTAGGGTGGGGCCAGGCCTGAAGTTGGGAGCCAGCAGCTCAGTCCAGGTTTCTTAGATGAGTGGCAGGAACCCAGTTAGTTGAGCTATTATTACTGGCTCTCAGGGTGTGCATTAGCAGTAAACTGGAATCAGGATCCAGAGCCAGAAATTGAACCCAGGTACTCTGAAGTTGAATGTTGGTGTCTTAAGCACTATGCTAAATGCCCAGTCCTAAATT